CCAACTAAGTTAGCACCAATTTTCCCTTTTTTGAGAGCGCCCTGAACGATGTCATTACTTATATGATCTTTATTCCACAATTATGATATGTATTAATTCGGTCCCGCTGATTCGAACCATTAATTCAATTCATTCCAAACTCTTATTCAGATTAGATGACTGAAATGGATGAAAATATGCCGATGGAGACGGAGACGGTCATGCCCGCAGCAGAAACCTGAAAAGCGTCCCTAAATGTGACAGCCAAGCTGAAAATGACTCCAAAATGGCACCCAGTGCCTCTGCGATGGAATCCGATCAGGGACCGTCGGCTCGTGATACCTCCTGAACGCGATGTGCACTACAAAGAAGCAAGCGTTGAGTCGCAGATCTCCCCAGCTCCAAGCTCATTTCGCGACAGAACACAATCTGAAGCGGCGTCTTCCATAAGGTATGATTTCGTAAATTCCCAGGGTCCACATAAAAGCTTATCTTTGTGCTATTCTTCAGTGATCAAGATGATGGATCTGAGAAAAGAAGAAGGCGCTCAACTCGTGACATAAAACGGCCGAAGTTCGACGACGAGTTAGTCGACAGTGGTGTGGCAAAGTTGCTGTCTCCTCGAGTGAGTCGCCTGTGTTGATCCTCTTTTGCTCGAAATGATTTTCATTTTTTTTCTGAAGAAGTGGTTCACATCAGTCAGTTCCGATTTCTACTGTTCACGCGCTGAATAAGCTGAAAGCTGAGTGAAAGTGATCAGGAAGCGTTTTCGAAGCCGATCATGATTACTTCCGTTGTTGCGATGAAGGAAAAGGCGATAATTCTGTAAAAAAAAACGGTTCCGTAGTTACAGTTTTGAAATATTTTTCAAAAATTTGGAATTTGATGGTCACCCCGGAGTGAAAAGGACAATGCCGTTAAAATTCACAACAAACTTCTTAGGCGTTGTCGCATTACGGAGGGGTGAGCCATTAGTGCAATAGTTCGTTCGCCTCATGATCGTATTTCTCAGGGCTAGGAAGCTCGTGGTATGTGGACCATTCCGCTTCGCCTGTTTACTGACCCCTGAAATTGGATTCATGTCGGGCACAGGAATATTGCACAATAATGCGCCCCCCCCGCCGTATTGTGATAGCGCCTTTTTTATTACGAATGTTTGGAAGAAGTAATGCATAGCTTCCCTCCCGCAACATGCAAACTGGTTCATCGACCCTGGAGCTTTCTGTCCATTCAAACATACCGTTTGTGTGTAAGAATTTGAAGAAGCGAATGAAACTATCCGCAGGCAGGGTCAACCGTGCATTGCTCAGTTTTCAACGAAGTAGGTCACCTTTGATTTTTTGGAGTGTGGGGGAGGGGTTGTATTAGGGGATTGTGGAGGTTAAAAGGATTCGAAAAGGTAAGCATGAACTGGCCAAAATTAGAGAATTTGTTGCTTCATTTCACGAATTTCCTCCCTCTCTCCCCTCCCCCCCCCCTTTTTTTTCCTCGACGGGTGTTTTGGAGGAAAAGTGAACAGAGTTAAGCTGTGTTGACTGGTTTCAGATGTAAATGCTATAACAGTCATGATGGTGAGGGTTTTGGTCGGGGAGATCGTGCTGGGGCTCCCTCTGAGGAAGGAGCGAAACGAACCATTTTGATTATTTCGCTTATAATGGTTTTTTCTTAATTGGTAGTGAGGAGTCGTATTGAGGCCCTTCGAAAGGAGGAGGTCGTAAAATTCTTGGCAATTAGAACAACGGACGCTCTACCCTATTTTCAGGTCATAACATACTCTCTTGTATGAAAAATAAACACTCTTAATGGATTTATTGTAGATCAAGGTTTTGGGCCACCCTTCCGCGCCTGCCTCTCGAGTTACCTCCCACTCATTGAGCTGACGGGTTTGCCCACCTTGGCTCAGTTTTTTCTCATTCTTCCCCTATTTTTATGTTCCATATGAATTCGTTCAAGTACTCCGAGCTTGGGTATGACTTTATACATGTGATCGTGGGGTTTTTTAGTTTCAGAAACGTGTAGGAGAAAGATCAATGCATTCTCCGTCGTTGAGTTCATCGGAGAATGGTAACTCAAAGTCCCACAATCGGTCATCCTCAGCAGATCCATCGCAAAGTTTTGGCATGGGAGATGCCAAAGGCGATGGTAAAGCTATTTTTGCCCAACCTCAACCATGTGGAAAAGGAGAAGATTTTTCAAAGGTGTGTTGTACCTCTTCATTTGAAAGCGCCGTGGGAGAGATTACACATGATCATGAAAGGTAAAAAAAAGGAGCCTGTTTATCATATTAAATGAAATGAAATTCGTTCAATACAAATCTTCTTCTCTTTCTTTGTATAAACTTTGCAGCGCCATGCATCCAAACTCACTTTAAATTCATATTTATTATAGAAACAGTTTTGAAATTAGTTTTGATTGTGGTCTGGTTTTGAAACCGCTTCCTCCTGGAAATTGCAAATGTTTGTGGCTTGTTTAGCCGACAAGTTGAGAAGTTGTCGGTGTGCCATTCATTTTGTTCCCTTTTGCCATCACTTTCCCACAATATTCTATTTTAATTCGCACAGATTTGAGACCTTGTGGATTGATTGCTTCACCCGTGATTGTGCCCTTATTTTTAATATATTTAGGTTGAAAGCTCTTCTGCTCCAGCTGCCAAGCATGCTCACTCGTTACGGCGAAGACCTACGCATAGCGTAGAAGACCGTCAGACAGCTGAAGAGGAAGAGGAAGCAGCAAAAATGGAGAAGAAACGCCGTGAAGCGAGAATCGCACAGAAGGATATTCGATGCAAGGTTGAAAATCATCACATTAGGGTTTTTGTCATCATTTTTGAGATTTTGGTTCCTTATTTATTATTCACTCAATTTAAATTTCGTTCGTATCGTTTAGGAGTTAGTCGCGGCTACAGAAGCGGCGGACGGCATGACATCTGCTGAATTACGCCGTTGGACAGCAGCAGACGACGTGGCACTGGTTACTGCAGTAACACATGTGAGTTTTGAACTTGAGATGTCCGTCAGACTCGGCAATTATGCCAATCGCGATCGGCGA